ATCAACAAAGTCCGTTGTCAACATGACCATACAACAAAAAGCCTCCGTCGTGTTTGGCTTGAGATTTTTATTTCTTACACAGAAGTAACCGGTTTTAAATGTAAACTCTACTTCACCTGCCCTATTTACTTTAAAAACACTTAAACAGAAGCAAGGGCCACCGGCCCCCTGAATTCAACTCATGTGATGACGTCTGTGTATTAAGACCTATCGGTTGAAAGCACCTGACAGAGCATTACCTTCCCCTCCCTGCCCTACCCTTGCATTCGATGAAAATGTTTAAACAAGCATTGAACGGTCCACCGCCCAATCTTAACGAGATCTTTAAGGCAAGGGTTGAACAGAATGCCGCTGATAAGTCGAAAGTAAATGACGTTACTGGCGGTGACGTCAGTGTTTACATACCACAAGATTCCATTTTGTTGTCTATAATTAGAACAGATTTTCTTGCAAATTCAATGTTTTTTTCTTCTCCACCCCACCCACCCCACCCCGTACTTCGATAAAATATACCATTATTTTAATAATAAGCCCGTACATTTGAATAGAAGTTTAGACATTTTCTTGTTACGTGTAATCTTCAGTTTGTTAAAAGTAAAGTACCAAAACTAACTTTCTGGTCAATGGGGTAGGTGAAGTAGAGTTGATCTGTTTCTGTGACCACGACATATAAATGGATAGAGTGGTTGGCACTATGCCCAGCCAGATGTGTACATCTATATTATGAAAATATTAATTTAGTAGAAACATAATTTTTTTTTTACAATCTTCTAAATGTAAATGTATGGTTATTTTTTTTTTATTTTTTACGCGTAATGTTTAGTGGATGAAAAATTAATATTGCCAACCTATATTTGTATAAGAATGTTTGACTCGATATATATTTCTTTCGTGACCAACTCCAAAATCAAAACTTCTGATGTTAACAGTGTAGCCAATCAAAACTTCTGATATTGATAGTTGTAGCCAATTAAATCTTCTGAGGTTAACAGTGTATCCAATCAAATCTTCTGATGTTAACAGTGTAGCCAATCAAATCTTCGTAAGTTGACAGGTGTAGCTAATAAAAACTTCTGATATTGACAGTTGCAGCCAATCTAATCTTCTGATATTGACAGATTTAGTCAAAGGACTAATTATTCACCCCTTCCATTTCACCCCCCCCCCCCCCCCACCCCCACTCCCCCACCCTACTCCCTTCATTGAACTTGAAGATAAAATCAACCATCTTTGATCCTCCTCACTCGATCCATCAAATAACTGTACACAAAAATGGTACCTGGTTTTTCCCTCGCCCATGACCCGCACTGTTTAATTAATGAAATTGTCAAGAATACGAAAATAAACCAGCCATTGATTTTTGACGGAAGTATTCTGAGGAAAAAACAAATAGGACAAAAAAATTAAATGCTCTATTTATGATCTGATGAAGGCTGTTTGATATCACAAAATAACTCGTGTTTTGTTTTCGTCGAGAATAATTCAAACTTTAATTAATTAGGTAAGTTTTATCTGAAACTCTACCACAAGATTTAAGTTTTATTTGAAACTCTGCCACAAAAGTTATGTTAATAAAAAGGTATAACAGTGCTGATAATAAAGTAAAGTGACAATTTTAAATCTGACAGTCCATGGAGCAAGTGAAGTAGAGTTCACCTGTATATGTGACCTCGGCGTATGAAGGGATAGTGTCGTCAGCACTATGCCCAGCAGCCTTTACTTCCCCTAAGGTGACTCAGGTACACATCATATGGGGTCATGGCCGTCCATCGGGCCCAGGATCCGAACTCGAGACTTTCAAGTCAGTGCTGATAGATGAATACAATGGTCCATTCCATTACAGACTAGTTTAAAACACATCCTATATTCCATACATGTGTTAAATTGTTATCTTAAATCGCCCCATGTTTATTGATAATAAAAGATTTCTTGAGAAAAAAATAAAACACGTTTTACCTTAGTTAACCCTCTATATAATTTAAGGCCTAACCATTAAACAGCCAGATGAACACACGTCATACTGAGCAGTGTTTCTTTCAGCCTTCTTTCTCCATAGGGGCACTTGAAATTTTCGAGGTGGGGGGGGGGGGGACGGACCAGAGGCGTAGCGACCCTTCCCGGCGCCCGGGGACAAACTTTCGATTTGCACCACCCCCCCCCCCTCAAACCTTCGATTTGCACACACCCCTCAAACTTTCGATTTGCACCCCCCCCCCCCTTCAAACTTTCGATTACTTTTTCCAACCCATTTTGGCGCCCCCTAAGGTCGGCGCCCGGGGACATATGTCCCCCCTGCCCCCCCCCCCCCCCCCCATCGCTACGCCTCTGGGACGGACTAAACTTTCCGGGGACGGACACTGGTAAAAGTATATATTTTCTATATAAATTCTTTTTCGGTCAGGGGGAAGGGGGGCGGGCTAGACATTCTTTAAGGAGAGGGGCCCGGAAGAGATACCTGAAAGGAACTCTGATACTGGGTTAACCTTTGATATAATCTAAAGCCTAACCATTAAGACAAAGATTATTCTGAATTAACCCTTGATGTAATTTAAGGCCTAAATATAAAAGTCAAAGTGCTACACACGCCTTTTCTTAGACAAAAAAAAACACTTAAGTATTTTGTAATGGTCTTTAAAATGTTTTTATCTGATCTCTGTTTAACTTAAATTTATGAAGCGCGAAGATTTGGAGCACGGAAACGTACCTAACCTAATGTTAGTACGCGTTTATATTTAGTATACACCTTTTGCACTGTGCATAAACCTGGCTAGCGAGTTTTAGATTTTGATGCAGCTTGTTCAATAAATATTTTATTAGGTATATTAAACACTTAGCGAGATTTAAAATACGTACCTCAAAGTTGTAGGATAATGTTTTTCTTGTTGGATGAGATTTCTTGATGGATGAGATTTAGAGTTTCTTCCAAGCATCTCTTCGGCTGAGGCCCCCCCTCCCCGAAGGAAGTCTACCGCCCCCCCCCCTCCCCCCGAACAAAATGGAATTTATATAGAACATATTTACTTTAAACAGTGTCCACCCCCCACCCCCGGGAATTTTAGTCCGCCCCCCCCCCCCCCCCAAAATTTCAAGTGCCCTCCCGGAGAAAAAAAGTATGGAAGAAAGACTGATAAGATTGTCATAACAACAACAATAGTCAATACCACCAGGCAGTGGCGTAGCGAGGTCGGGTGTCACCCGGTGCGGCACTTCATGGTGTCACCCCCCAGAGGCGTAGCGACCCTTCTCGGGGACAAATTTTCGATTTGCACCCCCCCCCCCTCAAACTTTCGATTTGCACCCCCCCCCCTCAAACTTTCGATTTGCACCCCCCCCCCCCCTCAAGTTTTTCTCTATATATTTTGTTATTTTTTGGCTTGGTGTCACCCCCCTAAATGGTTTCACCCGGTCCGCACCCCCGCCCCCCCCCTCGCTACGCCCCTGCCGCCAGGTTGCTAGCGTGTGTGTTGATGCAAGAGACGTATATTGAACGTCAGATAGACTGGTGTGATTGCTATCTGAGTACCGTGGCGATAAAGGATCCTATCGACATGGATGTTTGTAAGGTGTGGTGCTGGTGGGCCACACTGTGGATAGTCGGGGTGGGGGTGGATTCGTCACACTATGTTAATGGGAGTGGATATGTTACATCGCGCGTGTATGTGGGGGAAATGTCATATCCCGCGTGTATGTGGGGGCGCATAGCCGGATAGGTCATACACCGTGTATGTGGGGGCGGATAGGCTACACATTATGTAGTGTGGGGGCAGAGTTTCTTCCAGGCATCTCTTTGGTGGGACTCCCCGCCCCCCCCCCCCCCCGAAGAAAGTCTACAGCCCCCCCCCCCCCCCGAACGAGATGGATTTTATATAGTAAACATACACTTTTACTAGTGGCTGCCCCCCCCCGCCCCGAAAAATGTTGATCGCCCCCCCCCCCCTAAAATATCAAGTGCCCCCCCCCCCCGGAGAAAAAAGTCTGGAAGAAACACTGTGTGGGGTGGGGGGGGGGTTTAGGTCATGTGTAAGTGGGGTGCTTAGGTCACACTCTGTTACGTAAGGTGGATATGTTAAATTGTGTGGAATGTGTTAGGGTTGGGAGGTTTCTCGCAGTGTGGGAACATGTTGCTAAAATTCATCAGACCAGTACCCTTCTCAAAATATAAGAGCTAATACATACTTGGATTATGCAGGTATATATGCAGGTTTTATAACGTTGCTTACACAAGCCTTAGTTTAATCTTAAATATGAACTTGGTTACCACAATTTAGACCACAATATCACTAGCGTGCATCAGTCGCTAAATACTACGTTTGTTTTTGTTTTTTTGTTGTTTTTTTGGGTACGGCTAATCGGTTATAGTCATATGAGTTATTGTGGATTAATTTCAAGCGTAGTAAACTGGTGAAGTGTGATTACTGCTCTTTGGCTAAAATAAATCAATATCATTTATGGGGGTTTTCTACCTTTACTAAACATAGTGCTAAAAACTAGATCTGTCCACTAAATCATACATAATGCAACTTTAATTAATTTCTTATAATTTTGAAAACTATTTATGAATATTTCTAATTTGCAAAACTAAACGAAATTTAAAAGAACTAGATCTAGATAGAAGAAGGTAAACGTACAGATCTAGCATTTTCTATATTTATTATCTGTTTTTCTTAGTTTCTTTTTTTTTTTTTTAAGTTTCTTTTTTTTAAAGAAATAATGACATTTGGACAACTAAAATTGTACGAACTATAAAAAAAAAACCATCCTTAATTTTGTTTTCAGTACACAGTTACCCTTACGACACAAAACATTTACAGTAAACAGAACCAGACTAGGCCTATAGTTTACTTTATATTAGATCTATATCCCTACGCCTGACAAAATACAAATCTTAAACTCCACATTCTCGTGTCTTTATGGCCCCATACCATCTTCACCAACCATCTTCACCAACCAGCCGACTAACGCCATCCACAAACGGCTGTCGGGTCCCATCACTTCTGGCCTGTCACACACTCGCCTACCTGGCCAAAAGGTGACATTTTTTTGTGTGTCGAAAGGGGAGAGAAGGCGTACGCGAACACACTGACACACAACACATTATGTGCTTTTTCGTTAGTCGTGCATGAACATTCTTTCTTCGCAAAACGGGTAGGCCTACAGACGGCTATTTTTAAATGTGAACACATTTCATACCAGACTGCTGGTGGATTATTCTAGGTTAGATTGTGGTTAGTGTGTTGATTCCTTGTAGTCACTTTATTCTTTAGGGCCTGAGTTTATTTTTTTTTAAAGTATTGATTTTTTTATTTAGTGACTGCCGTGTTGTGGCGTGTTCTAATTTAGTGGATTTAAATTTAAGTCAGTTGGCAGTGTTTAAAGTTAGTATAAAGCTATCACTCAAAATATCGAATATAACCCGAAGTAAAAATTATTAATTTTAGGCCTAAATATAATAATATTTATAGGTGTGTGCCTTATTTAAATCAGTAAGTAGGCTTACTATTTTACTATTTTGTTTTGTTTGTTTTTATGTAAACAGTGTGACTACGATTAAATTGACATAAATTTCATTTGCTTAATTTTCTGAAGTTACCCGGGACCTAAATATATAGATCTAATTCAAAATCTGAAATCGGACTACAATTTTGAATAGTGTACTTCATACTTAGATCTACCTACAGGACAGATTTAGGTAAGTCAATAAAAATATTAAAATACCTAGATCTAGATCTAGATTCTAATCTAGTTCTAGAATCTAGATCTAGGTGCATCTTAATTACAATTAGTACAATGACAGAAATGACATCATATTCTGTGTTGCAAAATGTTGATTTATTATTTTAACTTAAAAAATTCTCTTAGGGTACACCCATAGATCTTATTTAGAGTGTATTGAACATAATATTTCATCTCGTAGCTTTGATATTAAAAGGTAGCCCTATATTTAATTAGATCTAGATCTAGAGTCTATATCAATTTTATTAAGTAGGTAAATCTAGGCCCCTAATGACAATGGGTATCATAGTCCTAATAAGTTGGAAATAAATATCAATATTGATTATATTGTATAGATCTAGAATAGGTCTAGATCTAGTAACTACATGGCTTGGATTCTAGATCTACGATCAATTACTATATTTTCTGACTGAAATTTAACTTGAATAGACTCTAGTCCAGTTATTTTGAAAAAAAAAACGTCACTTTTCCGAGGTGCTTTGTGTAGGGATTTTTTTTAAGCCTATCAAAATGAAGTCATACTTTATTAGGATAGGATCTAAAACCTGGATATAAGCCTGTATAACATGCACAAAAACCCAACCCAACCCACGGTTGTATTAAAGATTGATGTACTGATAGTGCTGTGTACCACTTATCGTTATTAATCATTAAAACATTATCTGTCTTGGAGTGGTCTTTTTATCTTTTAAAACACCAGGGGATCTCAAAAAAAAAATGTTTCCTTGTATGTATGCCTTGTATTTCAGACATGCTTATGTAAAAAATAAATCAATAGTTTTATAAAAGTACCTTGTTTTTTCAGATAACAGTATTCATTGTTATTACGAATAACAAAAAAATATGGTCTTTAAAAAAAAAGTGTGTTCCGATGATAGTTTTAGAACCACTGGGACAGTTCACTTGACGTGTAGTGTAGTGTAATGTTAAAAAGTCAGACTTGAAGAAAAAATAATCTTGTACAAGATGACAAGAGCCGCTTGATACAAGACGATGGGTAGACAACCACATGATATCATTCACGTGTCTTGATTGTCTATCCTGTAGTCTTATAGACCAACTAGTTTTATGTTTATGTTAGCAATACTTTAATAATTAACATAGTATATGTGCTACTAGGGTCATCGGTAATCATAACTGTAATGGAACCCTAGCCTATTTGTATTTCAATTTGTGGGTACGTCTATCCAACAGTGCTATCTTTGATTTGTTTATTACTTAACGTATTGACAATGAATTTAGTTTTTTTTAAATGTTTGTCATTGTTCACTGTCGCCATACAATTTAGTCTAAGTCCAATGACATTTGTCATTCAACACATGACATATGTCACACTTTACAGAACAGGTGTAGCCTATGTTAGACTACCTATGGGCGCGACTGACTAAAAAACGGAAACGAAAATTCCGGCTTGTCAGAAAGTGGGCGTGTCACCGTGACGAAATGGGGTAAATCGTTTACTACGTCGTGAACAATGGGATGGGGTGACGCATTGTTCGGGGTTCGGGATGCTCTTTACGGTGACGGATTTTTTAAATTTTTATTTTAGAATGGAATGTAGGCAGGGCTACAGTGTAGTTAATATTTTAAAATAGGGTGTTCAGTGTGTTAATGTTCACAATGGGGTCCGTTTTGCCTTGAGATATTTTGATATTGTATAATGAAAACAGTTCACATCGAGGTGTAGTCTTGTTAATGGTTTATTTCTGAACAAGCCGCTAGAGTCACTTGTGTGAAAACACTAGTGTGTAGTAGAAGATTTGAGACAGATCTGGGTATTGTTGTAGGGGGCGCTTGGTCTTGTGGTGCTGCTCATGAATACTAACCCAAAAGTAATGAGTTCGGATCCCATGTCGAGTACCTGGAAAGGCTCAGACACATGCCACAATCCCATCATAGGTTAGGCTAAGTTAGCCGGTCGTGTCTCGTAGAACATGGCTGTCGACAAGAGCTTGTTAACCATGTATTCATAGGCTAGGTTAAGTTAGCTGATCCCCCCCCCCCTTGCCAACAATCCCTCCATCCATATGACGTCTGAAAACAAAAAACTTTGATTCATCTGCGCTATTAACCATCTAGTCTACAGTGAAACATGTTTAGCGAAACAAGTGAGTGGATGTGGCACGCACCAAACCATTTAGTCTACACTAGAACTGTATTGACTGTTATGCAACTATCGTAACATGTTTTGTTACCCAAGTGAGTTGATGTGGTATGGACCACAAGTGATGATGTTGGTGTTATTCTGTGTGCTCACTACTGTCTGCACTCGACATTAAGTATGTCTCTAGCCGTGGATAGCCTACTAGGAAAGAACCGGTTATCAACGTGTGTCCACATGTGGATCACTGGTAGTGCTCGCGCTGGTCAGTTACCTCCATACAGGTGTGTCCACCTGCAGACCACTAGTGTGTCGTCTCATGGACGTCAGGTGTCCACATACTGTAGTGTTCCCTAGCCCTACATTACTGCTTGTATTATAGCGATACATAAATTATGGGATTTTATTTTCTCAGAATTCATTTTGACTTGTTTGAGAAAACAAAGAATTGTTTATTTACCTAAGTGTTTAACAGTTTGCCTAAGTGTTTGTTATTTTATTTGAAGATTTTTTTTTCTTTCAAGTTGAATGTTTCGTTACCAAATTTGTTTTTGCGGTCGACATTTTATTACTGCCGTGACTCTGGGTACAGTCGGGGTTGATTTAAGCAACGTTTGAAGTGTTACCTCCTGTGTTTACACTGGCTAGGTGTTGGTTCAAGACTCTTTGATCACACAGGTGCCCACCCCCCTCCATAGGTGCCCACCCCTCCCACACAGGTGCCCTCCCCTCCGTGTCACTACCTTTCCCTTCTCTCCGCTCTCTTAAGTAAAGGTCTCAAGTTACAAGTTTAAAAGGTCACAAAAGATTCCCGTACCTGGTCTCTCCCTGTACATCAAGTTTTGTATTTTGGTGATTCTTACATCTTGAACATCTACAAATAACAAAATATTCTGTATATATTTAGCTCAAATGGGACGGAGTGGTCTAGCTGTAGAGAGCTGTACTGCTCACCTGTAAGCCTCGAGTTCGAATCCGGGTTTAAGTCAGTAGACCGTCCCTGAGTCCACCCAGCTCTGATGGGTACCTAACTCATGTTAGGCGGCTGGGCATAGTGCTGACTACACTTGCCCCGTAGACATTTAGGTTTGAAAGGCAACTTTACTTTTTTTTATGTAGCTCCTATTATAACGATCTATAGAGATCGCATATTCTCAAAATGTGACCAATGAAGGAATTATATCTGCAGCTATTCTAAACTTTACACAGACTTCGTCTACTCTATACTTCCCGTTTATTTTAGTTCCGTGTTTTATCGATAAAGCTGAGTAAAATAATTCCCTAAATCCGACACTACAGACCCTGTCTGTATGTGATTGTGATTTGAACGTTGGACATAAATCAATTAGTGCCAAATGAGGTGGTACCCTGATAGACAGGCTGTTACCGTTTGACAGATTGTTTGCGTTTGTTTATATATGTAGAGGAGTGGTAACATTGTTAGCTTTTCTCTAAAAATGGGGAGGGAGGTGGGGTTAACATTATCTTTAATATAAGAATGGGGGAGGGGGCGGTGTTAACATTGTTATCTTAATCTAAGAATGGGGGAGAGGGCGGTGTTAATATTGTAAGCTTTACTCTAAAAATGGGGGGGGGGAGTTAATAATGTTGGCATTAATCTAAAAAAAACAGAGTGGGGGGAGACATTGTTTTGGTCTATAAATGAGGGAGGGGGAGGGAAGAGATTATTTCAAATCGCGAATAATATCCCCGCTAATCTTTGGCATTTTCGTTTATCTAAATCTAGATATCTAGAGCTTAGGGCTAATTGTTGTTATTGTGGCTGAAATTATCACCAATGAATGCACGTTCTACGTGTGTTGCTAGTTATGTCAAATATTCTACTGCCAGTACTTACACCACTGCCTAATTTTTTTTAATTAGCATATCATGTAATGTTGACGTAAATATGTACATAAACATCAAGAAATCTACCCTATCTAGTTTAATACTGCTTGCACCTGTAGTACGTTAATTGATTATTCAAACAAAATCTGGCAATAGTTATTGAAGTGGGCCATAACTGTTGACCGACTTGCCAGATGGTCAGTTAATAACCTTTCAATAGCCCTTGTCTCCTGCGCAGGCATGTCTGCGCATTAATCACCTATGTTTGGGTTGGTATGCCAATTAACACGCCCGCATGCCTACGAATTTCTAATAGTTTCACGTCGTTGAGATCTAAGTCTTTAATAAAGAAGCGATCATGCCGTTGAATTTGGCTCGGGGCGTAGACTTATTCAGCCGAGTAAACATCGCGTACTTGTCAACTTGGGTGTGTAGAAAATATGAGATTACACCAGAGGCGCCCGGGGACAAACTTTCAATTTGGCTTTCCCCCCCCCCCCCCCCTATATTTTTTTTTATATTTATAATTCAAAATAGCAGCTAAATGAGCTTATTTTGGCGCCCCTTGGGTCGGCGCCCGGGACAAATGTACCCCCCCCCCCATGTCACTACGCCTCTAGATTACACTACGCACTTGGTCTTAGAAAACCAATTGGATTTAATTCACTTGAGAAAAAAAAAATCAATCGCGGGAAGTAATTAAAGTTTACATAATCCATGATTGAGCTATCGAGGCCGGGGATCTTCACCTGTCTCTTCAACCGTTAATCCCTGTGTCCAATCTATATTACCAATATGCTAATGCGTTAGGTAAGTTATGCAGGGCAACTGTTTTTTCGCGCGTCTTCATAACCTTACCTTTTCGTAGCCTCGTTTTCACGAATTCGCGTGTCAGTTATGATAGTGAAACTCGTTTGACGGGCTAATTCGAATATTAATTTAAAAGTTTTTATTTATTTTTTTAAATACACTTTCTTTCGCCAAATGTTTAACTTGTCGCGGTAATT